GGAGACAAAATATTAAATTGGAATGAATGTTTTTTTTCGGTTATCAAAATAATATTTGAAATTGATGTACTGACATGCTTTAAGCCATTTGAAAAGTTAAAAACGCATGGGTCCTCTCAATAAAGACAAGAACGCATGGATCCTTTTTTCAAAGCAAAAACACATGGATTCAAGAAACAGACGAAGCTGAAAAGATTTTTTTAATTAAATGGTTGTAACCGTTTGATTAAAATATAAACGCATGGATTCAAGAATTCTTTGAAGCGGCTAAGTACGTATAAGTTGGCTGATTCAAAAAATGTAGGCATGTAACTGACAGATTTAAGTTTTGAAAGCAATGGATTTGAAACCGACTGTAGTTGCAAAACGGTTTGCTATTTTTTTTTTTTAATTAAAATATATAACATGTTTTTATTGTCATTTTCTTGATGGGACAAGATTTGGTCCGGTGTAGTTGGATATAATTAATTTAGATATAGTTTGAGTCTTGTGGTTGAGGGGATGTTGTGATTATTGTTATCATGTTTGCTATGTGTAGTGGGAATGAGATTTAGTCAGGTGTACTTCAGTATAATTTTCTCCTCTGTGGGAAAATTTCTAATGGAAATTTCATTTTTGTATAAAGGTCCGCCTAGACTAGACATGCTTGGAGAGATTCCGGTGCTGGCAATACCAACAGATTTCCAGTGTGCTAACTTCTTCAGGAAGAATAAGCCTCTTCCTCTCCCAAGAGTTGGTATAGCTGCCAACACAATACTGAAGGGGATAAACTTTTTCCTATCACAATTTCCTAAGAATACAAAAGCTCAGAAACAGGAATCCAGCTCTCAGTCATTGTAAAGCCAGTGAATGGCATCCTCTTTCGTATCAGAGGAAATCCATTTGGGTTGGCAGCATCCAAGTATCATCTTCCTCAGCTTGTGAGTTAATTTAACATGTTCTGCAAAAAATTATAGATTAGCTTTGTTAAATATGCATCATTGGCATTTCCAATGACCAAAAGCAGATAGCATGCGCATAGATAACTTAGCATTGAGATACAGAACATGCATAAAATATCTTGTTTACAATTGCAATCATCACTGAATGGCATGTAGGTTAATAGACACAATCTGAGTATCTGAAATCCTCCATAAAGAGAATCTTAGGATATTAGCATAACTTGATCAGTTCCATATTTGGATGATGATAACAAAAGGAGTCCTATAATTAGTTTGGAATTCCATAATAGACTTTGAGAACTACTAAGTAACTCAGATGCATTGCTTATTAAGCATCAGATACAGAATTAACATGCTCGTTTCCATATCAGTTTGCATTGCATTCCATTTTCATGTCATATCAGTTTTATAAGTCCAGATTCAGTTTATTCACATCTTCACCAGCTTTAGTATAGCTATGAGAACCATAACCTACAACTTACTGCACAGAAGAAAAAAAGCTGGACTAACAGAATTCTTCTGTTTCTTCTAGTTCCTGAGTTCTGCTGCTGCACCTCTGTTGTTCTCCTTCTTCCTCTTGGCTGAAATGAGAGAGATAGCTTGAATGGGCTAAAGTTCTAAGAACAAAGAGTCAATTCATAGACAAGGCTTAGTGGTATTTTAATAAATTCTACTTGGATAAAACAAGACATTAGCCACATCAAACCACTAAGATAACTTTCATATAATCAGCCATGCAGTACTAACTTTAAGCTTCTTTGATTAGCTCCCTGATTGGTTTCAGTCAAGCATTAAAACTCCTATTCCTATTCTTACGAGGATAGGATTATCCCAATAATTTCTCATTTCAATAGAACAAACCATAATTCTTTAATTCCTGTTTTATAGGACTGCTTCCTGATTGGTGTGCTGAAGAAAACTTTCACAGTCTCATTCAGCATCCACACGTTGAAGACTTTTGTGGAAATTCCAGCCCTGTACATCAAGCATGAAGAAAGTGATAAGATCATTTGGATTTCTAGGCACGGAATCAGCATGATTGTGGATGGCGGTTTGCTCTTTTTAAAAGCAAACAAATAAACATAAGGTAACTATGGATTCTGGAAGTTGTCGAGAATTTGTATTATTGGATTAATCTAGAACAGCATTTCATCTTGAATATTTTGTGTAACAACTTTTATAGCTTTTGCTGCTTTGTATAGCTGAGTTTTGGAAATTTACTATAATCTCTGAATGAAGTCAAAGCTGCCTTTTTGTTGAGGCTTTTCAAGATGGGATAGGTGGAAATAGGAAAGAACTTTGACAGCCTCTGATTTATTAATTGTTGGTCTTTTGGTTGCTATTTTCAGCAGACTCCCTTTTTATTGTAATGTATTACTTGTTGTGAGGGGTTTAAGTACTCCTTGTACCTAAACACAGAAACATTTGCTGTTTGGCATTAGTTGGATTGCACCTGTGACACTAAAAGGGAATTAATTAAATTTTCTTTTCTGTTTTTTCATTCATCAAAATATGCTGTTCCAAATGGAGCGTCTGCAGCTTAAAGCAACCATGGCTGCCTTCTTTGGGTTTCTTGCTATTTATTTATTTATTTTTTTATCTTCAGTTATTTTTACATTGAGATTCATACAAAATCTGCTTGCCTGATTGGGATGATTGGGTAGGAAAATATCAGAAATTTGCGTAATTTTATCTATTATAGGTCTACCTTCTTAAAGTATGATGTTCAAAAGTGTTTATTTTGTTATTAGATTGTCATTGTAGTAGCATATTACTGCATTTCCATCTCTCAAATTTCATTATGGTGGTTTTCTTTGAGATGGTTAAGGTATGTACCGTGTAATATTTTGTTCTATTAATAATTTTTCTTTGTTTCACCTTTCAGAGAGGAGAAAGGCAGAAGCTGCTTGCAACCAGGGAGAAGTATTGCTGGACAATTCCAGCGAGATGTTGATCATAAGGACTAAATGTTTCCTGTGCCTTTTCCTTTACTCAGATCTTGGTTTTAAATGTTCTGCTTTCCTGGGCATGGCATCCAGGTCATTCTGGATTCCTGACATTGGTAAGAAGCTAGTAGCAGCTACACTTAGCTTATCTTAATATTTTTTTGCTTTAGTATGCTGCCAGTTTGCAAATGCTTATCTGCATTTCAGTTTCTTTTCAAGTATCTTTTTTCTTGTCATTTCAATCTTCTTCTTCTTTTTTCTTTTTTTTTTTTTCTCATTGTCTTGTTTGTAATATGTCAACACAATTTGCCACTAGGATCATAGGAAGGCAAGGCTCATTGTTTCTCGTAATATTTGGTTAGATGGGTTAAATTGTTATATGCTGATTGACAAATAAATTTTCAGTGCTCCACTTTACTTATTCATTATATGTGAAACTGGTCCAGATTTAGAAGTGATTCATCTATTAGGTTGAAAGCTGCGTTTAATTTTTTTTTAAAGTTTAACTGGATATTCTACACAAGTATAGACGAACTTCATTCCTAATATTCTTTCTCATGGATACAGATGATATCTTGTCCCTGCTGATTCTCTTGAACAAGATATGCAGCTCCTCCTTGAAAATTTTAAGGCCATTGTTATGAGATGCAGAAACCTCATATATTGGTTTCTTTTCAATTCAACTATACAGTCTGAGTATACAGTTGAAGAGGCTCGAACTTAAAAGTGTTGACATTTTTTGTAATAAACTGTGTTTTTTTTTTTTGGTAGAAGTAATAAACTGTGTTTGATAAATGGAAAATGTGTTGCACAGTCTGAACCTTACAACAAGAGACTCTTGATTAATTAAGGTTCTGTTACTCGTGGAGATTATATTCTGGCTGCGTTTGGTTGCAGACCATGTCTCTAGGCATTAATTAGTGCCTTTGGATCTGGGGATACCCAGATTAGTTGGAATACCCATATCTTCGTGCCACATCAAAATTTCTTTTTCTGGGAAGATAGAAAGGACTGACACTTAGGGCAACCATGTAAGAACCAGTCGAAGTGTCACCAGTTGGTCAAGTAACGGTTGGAAAAAGTGAATTCTGAATTTGGGAATCCTTTTTACTCATTTCATCTGGTATGTGCGAAGAACGGCAAATTGGACAAAACCAGCCCCACTTCCTTCCAAGTCCCATCGTCTAATATCACCTTTCAACCATCGGAAATGGCTTAATTTACGAAATAATTTATTAACTATGAGTTTTTTTTATTTTAATTTAAAATCTTTATTTTTTTTAAACTCCTTTATTAACTTTCAAACTTATTTCAATCTCATTTACCCCATGCAACTATGTTAACTACATTAACAGAACTTCACGCTTTTAATTACGTGGTACCAGGTAAGTTATTGTGTGACATCACTTAGGCTAATATATGACTTAAAAAATGAAAGGAAAAATCCTCACTTTTTTGGTTAAATATTTAATTTTAAAAAAAGATTAATATATGAATAATTTTTTTATATAATTATTTATATAATTTGTTGTTATTAAATAAATAGATGTACTCAATATCATATACTTCAAATGAATATAAAAAAGTTAATTATTTAAATAATATGTAAAATTATATAAAAATATAAAAAATTAATTAATTATAATGTAAAAAATTAAAATCACTAACTAGACTTAACACAATAATTTAAACTAAAAAAAACAAACATAAAGTTTCAACTAAACTAAACTTATTTTTTACTTTTGTTCAGAGTACTCAGGCTCTGAACACAACTTAGTAAAGGGTTTATTGCAAGTCACGAAATCAAGTCTGCCATGGAGTATTTCAAGAATGGGATGGGTGCTGAGACCACTGGACAGTGAAGATATGATGATGTACGGTAAGATATTTTTTTTTTTTTTATATCTTAGTTGTACAATGGGAGGCAATCATCTTCCATCCCTTATCTCATCCCACCCGCATATCATGCGATTCGAATTCAAGATCTCTTATTTCCAACGAAAGGAGATAACCACTGATTTACTTAAGTCGTTGACAGATTTGTTACTAATTAAGTAGAGATTATAGATCTTCAAATTTTTCTTAATGGCATCAATTAAAGGTTTCTTCTTTAATTCCTTCTTGTCCACTTGTGCTCTTCTCTTGGTTTCTGTAAAAGGTGTGAATATTTTTTTTAGTCTGACACTTGTGTTGTTGCAATCTTCTATTAGAAAGTAAATGCATTTGAAAAGATTGCTTTCTTTATGCTTTTGTCTTGATAGAGTAATTGTAAATGGTATGAAAATGTGCTTGTGGTCCAGAGATGTTTCCCTATCTTAAATTTGTTTTGCAAAAGCAAGTGGTTAACTGACTTTATATGGTAGTTTTTAGTGCTTGGTAGTTTTTTGGGAATAAAATTTATAACTAGATGGATGGTGGCTTTATATGACGGAAATTTTTGTTTAAATTGTTTTTGGATGTGTTGAACAAGTCTAAGCTCAGACTTATTATTGTAAATCATTTGATATGTGAATAACCAAGCTTTTGTTGCTTTTATTTCAATGATCATTTGCCTCGATTGCAAGATAATCTAAGCTAAGATAATTGGTAACTTGATCTAACTATTTTATGTATTTGTTTTAGTATTATATTATTTTTATAAAAGTTTTTTAATATGTATTTTAAAAGTACAAATTAAGAGTATATTTATT